ACATATACAAGCGGCTCCCATGATGCGTGTGTGATGGATAACTTCCTCGGCCGGTTGTGCTACTTGGCTAGGAGGCTGGTTGTTTTACTTGCGAAGAGGTCCGACTTTTGTCGCAAGGTTAACAAGCAAGCTCGGCTGTACTACTTGCATATTTGACCAGCTGCACTAAATGAGGAGATAGCATTTAGTCCAGCACCCACATGCGGTTCTAATGATGAACCGAATGGGTTTATTCATGAGTAATCAGCTGGCATTTGATTGTTCTGATTGAGGGTGCGCGGGTTCTTATGTTATCAATAAGCCAGTCGGCATTTAGTGCCAGCAGCCGCATGAATAAAGCAGCAAGGTTGAGAATCAACCGGCTACAAACCAACCTCCATGCGGCCGGCATTTGGCCGGTTGTATGTGAAGCAGGTGCAACTGCTCTTTGTGGTTGTCGCAAGGTTCAGCCGGCCTTTCGAGCAACCAGCCTGACCAGGCAGCAGTCGGCTTCGAGTGCGAGCAATGTGATGCTCCTAGCAAGCCCAACATCCGGCCAAGCATGCGGCATTCTCACCGGCTGTGTGTAGGAAAGTAAAATCAGGATCAATCTGGATGGCTACTCACTAAGTACTCGGCTGTGTGTAGGCAAGTAAAATCAGGATCAATCCGGATGGCTACTCACTAAGTACCCGGGTGTGTGTAGGCAAGTAAAATCAGGATCAATCCGATGGCTACTCACTAAGTACCCGGCTGTATATATGCAAATTAGCCACGACTAGTCCGGATGGCCGAGACTAGCAAAACCATGGAAGCCAGCTGTGAGTGTTTAAGCTATGCGTCTAGCATGTTACACATCAAGCATCCGGCAAACCTTTAATCACCAAGCACCGGCCAGCTCTATGCAACACAACCGGCATTATTGTTGGCTGTGTGTATAACGGGTTAAGCAACGTGCAACTAGGATTATCGTCCATGAGAGACGGTCTTCTTTGTGGTGGTTAGCAAGGTGGTCAACCGGTGTACGAACATGAGTGAAGCCATGAATACACAGCTGTATATGCATGAGAAGTCTCGTGATTATAATTCTCAACAAGCATCCAGTGAGCAAGTATTAGCATAATCATGAGAATCATTATTATTATTATTAAAATAATGATTTATCAAATCATTATTATGATTGATATAATGATTTGATTAAAATAATGATTTATCAAAAAAAAAAAAAAAAAAAAAAAAGTCGGCTGCATGTATATGGTTTGAGCCATGAGCTGTCCGGTTGGGTGATACTCATGCTACACCATTGAAACCGGCTGTGGGTGCAATGATCAACGAGCAGCCGACACTTAATGGCATTATCACAAGTCTTTGAAGCTGAGCATTTGAAACAGCCTGCCTTATCATGAGGTGGCCTCCGAGTGTAAGCACAAGCATGGCTTCAGCGTCGCTTCGAAGCTAATAGATTGGTCGTATGTATGGTTTAATCATTACCGCATGTATATGGGTCAATACAACCTCACAAAATGCCATGGGTAATGACCGAGTGTGTGGATGCCTTGCCAAATAAATAGAGTTTGAGGTCGAGCTTGAAAGCAAGCGGCATGGTTGAAAAACGCATATTATGGCTCGGTTGGCATGAGTGTTCAAATTTTATCATTATAATTGTGATTGTAAAAAATAAATAAAAAAATAAAAAAAATCGACTGTATATATATATACAGCCGAGTCATGCACTGACCGGATGGGTGGCGCATGTGTTCCATTAAAACCGACTGTGGTTGCGTACTCACAACGTCATGATCAGCTCTAACCGCGCATATTTTACTGCATTAAAGCCGGCTGTATGTATATGGGTTGAAAGGAAAGTAATCTCTAAAAATATGTATGTGTGTTTCTGTATACAAATTACATCTACAACATATAGGAGAAATCACATGCATATATCTAGATAATACTTCAACTACTGGCAATATTAGCCAAATTGGGTTAAGGCCTTGCCGCCTGAATCAACCGTCTGTGCCATCATCGCTCCTGGGTATACTTCAGCAAGCTCCCTTGATTTTAAACTACAGCAGCCGGTCAACCGTCTGGGATATCATCAAGCAAAATTTCAGGGAAACGCCTGGGTACCTAACAAGTAACTGATTGACTTCCGCCTGCTGATTCGGCTAGCCAACCTCTTTCATTTCTAAAGCATCTTCAAGAAAAAGGTCTAGAGATGGTGTCGCCTGGGTACCTCAACAATTTCTGGTTCTTTCCGTGTGTATGTTGCTTGAAGTCTTGCCGCATGTATATGGGTTGCCAACCCCCTAGCACTTGTATTTGAATCTGAAACCAAGCGGCATGGTAGAATCAACCACCCAGTGTAGTTCGGTTGGCATGAGTATTGTTCAAGGCAGGAGGCATCTCAATAGAGAGCCGCATGTATAAGCTGAGAGCAAATTCGTTTCTCGAGCTCAGTTACTCGGCGTCCCATGGCCCCCTGTCGCTCGAGCTCAGTTCAATTCTAAAGCAGGAGGCATCTCAATATCGTCCAGCATATTGACAAAAATCCTCCATCAGAAGGTACCATTCTAATAACTCAGTATGAGTATTGTGTGCTTCCTTATTATTATTGATTGGTTCTCAATACCACATCCTACTTGATTTTTTAATTGAAAACATTTAATAATGGTTTAAGCCTCCCTCAAGGGCAGCATACCGGTCAAAAAAGGTTTAAAAGTATGTTGAACTGGCTTAAGTAGAACCACCGCCTATGCAATGTGCAGGCGGCGAAATTTAAATCAGCCATCTGCTCCAACATGAGTAGATATAAGCTAAGTCTAAAAAACTTAGTGGTTGTGTTGCATCTTTTAGAACAACCAAATAAAGGCCTATGGCCGAAATGATCAAATCAAGGCCAATGGGCGGATGATCAAATTGAAGCCTATGGCCGGAATGATCAAATTAAGGCCAATGGCCGGATGATCAAATTGAGGCCAATGGCCGGAATGATCAAATCAAGGCCAATGGCCGGATGATCAAATTGAGGCCAATGGCCGGAGTGATCAAATCAAGGCCAATTGCTGGTTGATCTTATTAAATTAAACAATCCGTCTGCTCCAACATGAGGAGGCGTCCGGCGATGCTCATTTGGGTGAATTCGTCGCAGAGAGCATCTCCCATTCGGGTGGCACATTTCTCTAAACTTAAAACAAATGGCCTTACCGACTGTCAAAAAAGGCAAGTTCGCAGCTGTTTGAATCGATCAAATGAGACTAAGATAACAACCCAGTTACTATCTTGGTTAGATGTCGTCTGCTGTTGCTCAAAAGCAATACCGTCGACTAAATTTGAGGATATAAGCTAAGTTAAAAAATTAGCGGCTAAGTGTTGTTCCCTTTAGAACAACTCTATGAGGCCAATGGCCGGTTATATTGAGCGCTTACCCCTAACTCGATGGTCGACAGTCCACCTGGTCTGAGGCTATCAGCATAGTGGGGCTAAAAGCAATTAGAGTCGACATCTGTCTAGTTCAGCGGCAATCATTATTATGATTTGATTAACTTTGAAAATGTCGTACCGTTCAAGGTATCAAAATTTTCCAAGTTAATCAAATCTCTCTTTCATTGAACTAGACAAATGCCGACCAAAGAGGCTTAAGGGGTCTCATATTCGAAAGGAACAATCCCTCTTAAAAGAGATTACTCCTTCCGAGGGGCTAATGTTTGGGGGTTTAAATACCCCTGACAAATGGACCTACGCTAATGGAACACGTGTCCCTAAGCTCAGCGCGAAATTCAAAATTAGAGCATGACATGTGTCATTCAAAGGGGAAAACGGGCTTTAAGCCCATAACCCAAGAAACCGTAAAGTGGGGGAAGCCCATAACCCTAGCATGACATGTGGATTCATATTGAATACACATTCAATCCACACAAATCAGAGAGTGAAACACTCATATACCGAGGCTGTCTCAGACAGCCGGAAGATCACTCCTCTCCCAAGAGGAGCCTGATCACATTTACATTCCACACTTTACTCCTCATACACGTTCTAACTTGATCGTCGGAGGCGGAACTCCCACCCCTGGGAGTCTCCGTTGTTTTGCAGGTACAGGCAGCCGGAGATCAGTCTTGGTGTTGTAATTCTCCCGCAGGACACTCAAAAAACCCCAAAACAGGAACTAGGAACTAATCTGGACCGTCAGATCTAACACCAAAAGCGTGCGATCTAACGGCCTAAATTAAACCAGCGATTTTCGCTTTCATGAGTTTATCTCTCCCCTCCTCCGCGATTTCCTCTCTCCTCAAGCATTTTCTCTCTCCTCCATTGCAACGAATCCTCTAAATTCTCCATTGAAGCAACTTTCGAGCTTTCTCTACTCCAATGAAGAAGCTTCTGAGGTAAGATGTTTGTTTTTTTCTTTATTTTTTAAAAAAAATTAAATCACGAATTTCACTTTCATTGGTTTTATCATTAATTGTTTTTGTCGATTTAGGGTTCTTTTTATCTGGATTTATAAAATTTGATAATATTTGAAGTTTATTGTGCTTGAATTAGGTATAATTTGATAATGATTATAACTTTATTTTTTTTGGTGAATTTAGAATCTCGAAGCTGCGCGAAACTTCGGAGTGTTGCGTATGGTTTTGTTTGATTTTCAGTAAAAGTACTTATTAATTTAATGACTTGTAGATTTTAATATGTGCAAATCTTTTCTTATCTTGTTGATGATTTATTGTGAATACAGAAAAATGTTGTAAACTAATTTTAAACTCAAAGCCTCGATAAATACTTAAAATTATTGATTTGTGTGTTTGATTGTCCAATTTTGATACTCCATTGAAGCAGTTTCTGATGTTTGATTTTACTATTTTTGGTTTTTCTTTAATTTTAAATCAATTGCAATTCAGTTAGATTAAAATGTGTTAAAGTAAACTAAAATTGTGCAATAGTAAACTAAAATTGTGCAAAAGTAAACTATATATATTTGGATCCTACTTTGGCTACACATTATAGTTTATCTAATGTAATTTGAATTGATTGAAGTTAGTGATTTTTTAATGCATTTAACACAGCATTTACAACTGGAAGTAGCTCTGGAGGTGATAAGGAAATACTGGTGCAACACCTGCTTGTCAAAGAAAATGATCTTAACCTTTTAGTGGAGCTTCAAAAAAGGGTTGCAGGAGGTATACTTTTGCTGAAATTGTATCAAGTGATTGTGTATGCAGACATGATTGATGGGTTTATGCTAATATCTGTTGTTGAATGTCAGGGGAGGATTTAAGTGATCTTGCTGTGGAATACTCTATATGCCTATCAAAAGAAGAGGGTGGGGTGCTTGGCTGGGTCAGAAAAGGACAAATGGTATGCTGGTTCTTTAGGCACTTGTTTCTTGGATTGTTTTCAATTTGTTGTGATAGGATGTTATATATCTTGCTCAAGAAATTCAAAATTGTCTCCTCAGCCCTATTATCACCCTGTGTTGTTTGAAAGTCATTGGTACTTTTCTATTGGAAGAAAAAAATTCATGTTTTCGGATGTTTTAGTTTGGATAAAGCTTTCTATGTTTCCGAATGTTCTTGTTTGGAGAAAGCTATTTATGTTTTTGAAAGTGAGCTGATTTGAAGCATCATTCTCATACCAGGTACCAGAATTTGAAGAGGCTGCATTTTCTGCACCATTAGACAAAGTTGTAAGATGTAAAACAAATTTCGGATGGCACTTGCTTCAAGTCATATCCGAGAGGTTAGTTCATTTCAGATTTACTTGTTTAGGCCTGAAAGGTAACTGATTTACATTCTTGATTCTGTACCTTTTTATTGGCAACATTGCTTTAGGGAAGAGGCGTTGCTTGGTGAAGTTCAACCAAGTGAGTTGAATGAGAAACTTCAAGATCCCAATTTCACAGAAACAACACAACTGATCGATGTCCGAGAGCCAGAAGAAATGTATGTCTTTTTTCTGCTGCTTTTTAGATGGTTCTATGCATTACAGTTCGATCAATATCTCTTGTTCTCTGAGTTGCTTGTTTTTATTAAAATGCCCAATAAACCTCGTCATAGACTGCTTTTGCTTATATATATATATATATATATATATATATATATGATGTTGGTAAAACTCAAAAACGAAGGTATTTACTTGGCCACTGTAAAATGTGAGGCAGTTATGTGTTTGAAATTTAAAACTTGAACCTGTGTGGTGAAACTGCTTTTCAGAAAGAGGGGTAATGGGGATCTTGAGTTGAGCTTGTAAGCTCCAAAACTAGATCTAGTCACAAAGTACCGGGAGGCTTCTACAATGAATTGTTTGTATATTAGGATGGTTGTAATATACAAATTGGATCCCTAATCTAGGACATTTAGGAATTTTAGGACAGGGTAGCTTTAGAATGGCAATATTTTAAATTATTGTCCATACACTTTACTGTATCTAAACACATCAGATTAGCTCATGCGGTTTTTGGTGTGAAAAAAGTAAATAAAAAAGACTCTAAAGTGAATAAAAAAGACTTTAAAGTAAACCTATTAGCTCAAGTGGTAGAGCACTATGCGCATGCATAGAGATGTAGGTTCGATTCCTATATAGGTTATCTTAAAAAGTAATTACAAAACACTCTAAAGTTATTCAATATTTCTCAAAAGTAAATCAAATTATCTCAAAAGTAAATCAAAAAATCTCAAAAGTAGAAAAACTAAAAAATATAAATTAATACAGTATATGTCAAAAGTAAATCATAATTACTTTGAAGTAAACAAATAATGCTAAAAAGTAAATCAAAATATCATTAAAGTAAATCAAATCAGCTCTAAAGTATATGAATTATAAATTATCTTGGAATGATAAATGACTAAAGAAACTTTAATTAGCTCAAATAATAGAGAACTATGCGGATGCATAGAGGTGTAGGTTCGATTCCTACATAGGTTATCTTAAAAAGTAATTACAAAACACTCTAAAGTAATTCAAAACATCTCAAAAGTATATCAAAATAGCTAAAAAGTAAATCAAAAGTAAATAGTATTTACTTAAAAGTAAATAATATTAACTCAAAATTAAATAGTATTTACTTAAAAGTAAATTATATCTGCTCACAACTATTCAGTCTAGGGTGCACATTGCTAAAAAGAAATAGTAGGGTATTAGTTTACCAACATGTTTATATCTTTAATCCTTAGATAAATGACCTTGAGTTTCTAGTAGTAAAAGTAGATACAAAATGAGTTAAAGTAAATAAAATGTTTATTAAAGTAAATAGAAATGAAATTCACCTTCTCTATTTCTAAAATCAGGAAATTACTATGAAGAAATGCTTATTGACAGTCTCTAATTGCTATAAATGCTTAAATACGTAGTATAAGATTATAAAACGTTCTGTCATACCTTTAATCCTTGGATAAGTGAGCTTGAGTTTCTAAGTAATAAAAGTAGATACAAAATAAGTTTGAAGTAAATAAAATACTTCTTAAAGTAAATACAAATGAATCTACGTGGGATTCGAGCCCACATCCTTTGTGCATTTGCACAATGCTCTACCAGAGCTAATAGGTTAGTGCTATCAGTCTATTTAAGTAGTACCAAATACCAATTATTGTATAGAGAAAATGAGTCATGTAAAGCAAAGCAACATAAACAATTGAGCTACATTTGTAGTAGAGAAAAATTACTTAAAAGTAAACTAAACAATCTTAAAAGTAAATAAAATAATCTATAAAGTATATGTACTAAGCTGCTTAAAGGTTTTATACATAAGTTTTATAGCTCAAAATATTAGCCACTTAAAATCCACCCTAATTACTTCAGCTCAAAATATAATTTTTGAGTGTGGCATCATAGCTAGAATACAATGCCACAAACTTTGATCAAGCAGTGGTGCAAAATGCAGGGGTTATTCACTTATTTGTGATCTCTGGCGAAGGATTTGGGCTATGGGTGCCCTCCGAAGCTAAGACACTTTGTATGAAAAACGTGCAAAGGCTTCTTAACGGTAAAAGAAAGGCCACATTATTGACGTGGTGAGTGAAATAAGCTGCCAGGTACGTGAAGCCTCGCCCAAGACAATTCTGCACTCCCTCTTTGAATGCATTGCTGCTATAGAAATATGGAGCCTGCCTCATTATACTCATTTCAACCATATCATTTTAAATTGCATGCACTAATCTATTTTATATCGCAATGACAAGAGTTGTAACTTTGCAACAAACATGATCCAGAGAAACAACTGATCATCATAACCAAAATCAGTAGTCAAAAACTAACCACTAGTTTCAGGAGATACAAGCAAATTCTAAATAACCAGCTAGTTCAGAAAACCATTAAACAATCTAGTAACATAGCACACACTTCATGTCTGCATCATACATTTTAAGTGAATTTCTGACAGAGGAAAAAAGGAGAGCTCCAAACAAGGATTCACAGGGCCATATGGTGATACCCAATAGTTCATAGTACTTTTTTGGGAGAGTATGGCAAAGAATTTAACATTATAGCCTGTAAATGTTAAATATCATCTCAACCTTTGGCTTTTGTTCAGGCTTCAGCTACCTCACCTAAGTGAAATTCAGTATTTAGTTCAAGTGAAAATGGGACTAATCAAATAATCAAATTTACTATATACTATATGTACACTCATTAGCAAAAATCCTGCTAATTATTAAATTCGAATTGCCAAATGTTTGATTTTACCTAAAAGTAAATACAAAAAATCTCAAAAGTAAATCAAATTTACTATATACTATATGTACACTCATTAGCAAAAATCCTGCTAATTATTACTTCGAGTTGCCAAATGTTTGATTTTACCTAAAATCCAACAAACAGTCATGCTTATACAAAGGGATGATACAAAATTTATCAACATTTCCTCCTCAAAAATCAGCAAACAAAGTTGTATCTACAACAAGGAACAAAAGAGCTTGAAAACATTGTTCATTGCATATCAACTTAGAAACTTGAATTGCAATGTGAGGGCAATATCTAAGCAAAGGGTTCTATGGATTTTCAACCACAAATTGGATTAATTACACAAACTATCAAATCAACAACAATACACTAATTTAGAGAATCAAACAGTACAATAATTTATAGAAATCAAACAATTTAAAAACAAAACTCTCATTCAAGTAGATAAAACAATAAACCTCAATCAAACAAATTAATAAAAAAATTCGAATCATAATAAAACAAACACAAAAACACTTAATCATTAATCTGATTGAAAAATGACAAAACACAAATTAATCAAACAAAATATAGCGAAATCCCTAATTTCAAATTCGAATTAATCAAATCACAAAAATACAAACCGCAATTGAACAAAAGAGAAAAGATAAAAAAAGTTAAACAGCTTACTTGCCCAAAAATAACTAGCAATGAAAATCGAACAACAAAATCAAGAATTTGATAAGAGTGGAGTAGAGAAAAAAAATCGCAGGAGAGATAAATCGCAAGAAGAGAGATAAAAAGAAAAAAGGAAACAGAAAATTGGAACGAAGGTCATTCACTGACGGAAATTACGAAATTACCCTTAATGAAGCGGATGAACTACAGGTCGTCAGATGAAGCGCGATGGACGGCTCAAATAAGTTCCTAGTTCCTATTATTCAACATGGTTCTCACATAATTATATATATATATATATATATATTTTAAGTAAGAAAAATTATATTTTATTATTTAATTAAGAGGTCCGAAAATTCCTAATTAATTAGCTATCATTTTCGGATTTTCTAAGTGTAGAAAATCTGATTTTCTTAGTTAAATTATTTAGTGAATAATTGGTATTTTTCTAATTAATTATTTTATACAATATATTATTTACATAATCATTTTTAATCCTTAAAATCTAGAAAATTAACTTCCTAAAATCTAATCAAGAGGGCCGAAAATTTGAGCTTAGGAAAGCTCAAAAATTTCGACCACCTTGGGGTGATTTTGAGCAATTTATTTTGGTATTTTAATTATCTTCCTTAATTCTTATTTCTCATCTCATAAAGATTTAGTCATCTTATTTATTTACATTAAACCATTCTTGATTATTCCCCAAGCAAAGCTATTTGCCATATTATTTTTCATGACAACATACTTTCCATAATTAATTATTCCTTAATCACCATAAAAATAAACTTCCCATAATTCTTTAGCTCACTTCTCTAAGTAATTCCTTAAACCAAAATTACCATAATTCTTCCTACATTTTCCTACCATAATTCTTGCATGAGCTAGCCTATAAATACCCTTGAATCATAGCTAAAAACTCACACCAAAACTCTCTTCTTTCTCTCTAATTTCTCTCCTCTCTTTTTCTCCCTTCCTTACGCTAACCACCACCACAAACCACCACTGCCGATTGCCGACCCTTTCTTCTTCCTTCTTCTTCGGTTTTCTACTTTTTCTTCTCTTCTCCTAATTAATTCTATGGTTTTATAAAAAAATCATTTTGCGTTTTTTAATTAAATAAAATAGTTTATTATTCAAGTTTATGAAAAAGAATTTTATAAGGTTCATGTACATATAATTGGGGTTTTATTTTTGTTGTTGTGATTATTTGATGACCTTATATTGATTAAGGTTATATTTAATTGTAGGGTGTTTTTGACAAGAGTTCTTGAGGTTCCTTTTTGTGTGTTTGCTAAGCGAGGATCAAGGTACGTTTAGGTGGCTAGATACCTTCGAAATTAATTGGATTGAATAAGCATGTTTTTATGATTTTATTGGTGATTGAATTAAATTGATTTGAATTATGATTTATGAAATAAAGTATGTTTAAAGGAATTGGTTCTAATAAATAAATTTGAAGGATTGATTTTTAATATCATGTTTTGAATAATTGAATTATTTATCATGTTTAAAAGGTTTGATTTTGAAAGCATGTTGAATTAAATAAAAAGGAGTTTTGAATTGTTTTATTATTAAGATTGAAATTATTGATTTAAAGAGGATTTATTGAATTATTTATAAAAGCTTTACAAGCATGATTATTATATTCATCCCACTATACGGATTCATTGAACACTATGGACTTTGTATGACCTAGTCTTTCCTCAAGACACTACAAGAAAAATAATTTTGGGCGACAAAAAAAATTCATTGCCCAAAATCCATATTTCGTCGCCTAACCTTAGTGCAACGAGTTTAAACTCGTCGTGGGGTCATTGCACAAGGGTCGACGCTCATGCTGTTTTGTGCAACGAGAATTTGATTAGTCGCCCAAAACTAGTTTTGTGCAACGTTTATGCGAGGTTTGGGCATTACCATATTTTGTTGCCTTTGCACTTTTGTACAACGAACTAAACATGTCGCACAATCCATCTACATTGGCCAAATCATTTTTGTTTGTGCAACATTTGTTTTGTCGCCCAATAACGTTTTGTACAACGAGTTATGTTCTTTGTTGCCCATTACACCCGAGTATTTTTTTTTATTTTTTTATTTTTGTCTTTTTTTTTGTATATTTTTAATAAAATTACACCTACGAGTTTTATAAAGGAATTAACTAATCAAACTTTGTATAATTTGCATATTTGGTTAACTATTTCGTTCTTGATATCCCAATTGAAAACAATGCTAAAAGTTATTGTAAATAGATTACATGATAACTCGATAACAAATACTATGAAAACTGAATTTCTTAATATGATCCAACTTACACAAGGTTTTTTACAAATATCGATAATCATCCTACCTAACTATGAAAAATAACATAAAAGAATTCTACATTCAGTAATCTTTGAGGATCCATTAACAATTACAAAGACATCATATAAAATTACAACCTCTTCATAACTCATCTATGATCTGCTATGTAAAGCCTAACAATCACAATCAACTCGTCTCCTCTCCTGTATGACAAATTAACAATTAGTATAAAGTAATCAAAAGTGACAAGTTTTACAAATCATAATTAACAAAAAGAAAAAAATAGTGCTTGAAAAGATTTACCTTATTTTCCTTGTCTTTTGCGATAATATTATCAAAGTGGTTGAAGTTGTACTTCTAACAACAATAATTAAAAAAAAATTATAAAGTATCTAAAAACCTGTTATAATACATAGTTATAACCTAATTAAAGTCTCAAGCATAACAAATATTGATACAAACATATACAAGACTAAAATTTTCTAATCTAAAATCAAATTCAATTCAAACAATACGGAAAATTCTTAATTTATTAAAAAATTATCTATGGCCTGAACAAGTGTTTATTATCAAATCTAAAAATTACCCAGATCCTCACTCACCTTCATATATAGCAAATTACATTTGTGATGAAATCTGATCATTGCTGCAATTTGATGTCGTTTTTCGTCCCCCAAATTAATACGATTCAAGCGCTGTAGAGATAAAAGCAGTATACTAAGCGCAATAGATTCTAACGGGGTGATTAAGAAAACAAAAAAGGAGATTTTTTTTTTATATATAATTGAAACCATAAGTTTGTTGAGGAACGAGTTTTAGATGGAGGAGAATGAAAATATAAGAATCTGGAAGAGTAGGGATAAAGTTGAAAACAATTAAGGATGAGATGTGGGTAGTGGCGGTACAAGCGTGATAGAAATTTAATGGCGGTTTATTTGAAATTCAATTTTTTGGGTGAAATATACAATGTAAGTATGTAACAAATTCCCAGCGCTTTATTTTTCATTATTTTAGGCAACAAGATCTATTTCGTTGCCCTTATAAATGTTATGGACAACGAATAAAGAGACATCGTAGCACAATATAAAATTTTGGAAAACTCAAGTGTAATTCGTCGCCTAATATATAACTTCGGGCGACAAAACAAAAAAGTTGTTGCCCATACTTAGATTTTGTGTACCGAGTTATAATTTGTCACCCAAACTATACATTTAATGCTACGAAGTCATTAGTTGTCGCACAAGCTACACCTAGTCGTCGCCCAAAGCCATTTTTCTTGTAGCGAGGATAACCTTTCAATATAAAGATACTAGCTTGGGGGGTGTGCACATTTAAGAGAGGAATTGAGTTTTTGAAAAGAGGAATTGATTTTAATAATCACTATTATTGAATTATTGAGTTATTGGAATTATTTTGAGATTCTTGAGAATTGGTTTTGAACTATGAGTTTGGAATTATTGAATTTGTAATTGGTTTTAAAAGAATGTTTGCTAATAAAATTGAATTTACTTATCTTGCACTTATTGTACTTAGCATATTTTGCTAATCCATATTTTCTATTTATTTTGGTTCGCCGTGTATACCTTAATGGTAAGCAGTGTTAACTATTTTCAGGTGGAGTCAATAAATGAGCATTTGGGAATCCCGGGATATTCTTCACCTAGTTAGGAATAGGGATTTGTTAAACATCGCCCGCAAATTACCATATAAAGCCCACAAATATGACTTGGTGTGACTTTATTGCCCTTTTCCTTTTTAAAAAAAAAACACTCTCTACTTCTCTCTAAAAAAAATCAGAAAATCTACCTCTCTTAAAAAAATTAATTACGACAATGTCGAGGCGGCAAGGGAAAGAGGTGGCGGCGGCGACGGCGGAGGAAAGGCGGCAACCTGGTGGCAAGGTAATTATTTTTTTAAAAAAAAAAAAAAAAAGAAGACGGTGGCGCGTGGTGGGCGTCAGGTCCGGCAGCCACAGCCGGTGGGGTGGCGTCTGGCTTGGAAGCCCAGCCACCGGAGCAGGCGTCCAAACCAGAAGCCAGCCCGTTGGTTGTGGCGTCCAGATCTGGCGCATGTGCCAATGGATGGGCGTCCAGTTCAGGCGTCTGCCCACTGGCTACGGCTGCCGGAGCTGGCGCTACCGCCAGTGGGTGGGCGTCCTAGCCAGGCGCCCGCCCTTTTTTTTTTTTTTCTTTTTTGTTTTTTTTTTTGTTTTTGTTTTTGTTTTTTTGTTTTTGTTTTTTTGTTTTTGTTTTTTCTGATTTTTTTTTGTTTTTTTTGTTTTTTTTTTTATTTTACAAAATCAGAATTTAGTTTTATTTAAAATAATTTTGTTTTATGTCTAATTTTTTTTTGTTAATGTGTTTTATTTTTTTTAAATATTTATCAACTTTATGTGTTTTTTTTATAAATCGTGTATATTTTATTTTTATAAAATCATTTTTTTTTTGTGTTTATGTTTTATTTTTTTATGTTTGATGTTTAAACATTTTTTATGCCTTAATTGATGTAGTATGTGGAAATTGTTTGTGTTAATGTGTAATTGTTTTTTTAATTTAAAATGTGTAATACATTAGGGTATTATGTGTGTATTTGTGTATGTGTAATATATTTGTTTTCTATTTTTTATGTTTAATTATTTGAAATAATTTTTATTTTTTTTGGAAATCATAAATTTTGTAATATATTAGGGTATTATGTGTGTATTTGTGTATGCCGTATAATATTTTTGTATGTTTAATTAGTTGAAATAATTTGAAATTTTTGTTTTGTGTCCTATTTAGTTATCATGTCTTTGATTATTTATAATCTTTATTAATTTTATGTTTATAAACATGACGATATGTTGGAAGTGTTGGTATTTTGTATCTGTAGGTATTTATTTATTTTTCTAAAAAACTTTTGTATGTTTATATATTTTTAAATTTTTTGTAGAATTCACTGGGTCGTCATGGTGCGGGGAAGAATGTAGAGCTTCTTAGTAGAAGCTATTCAGTGGAGAGGTCGGGGCATAGACATGTTAGATCCCGTGGTATTTCGACCTCGGCTCGTAGAGAACGGATCCACCGTCGGGATGAGGATGACGATGATGATGCTGAGGAGGGTGACCAGGAGGAGGAGCAGGAGGAGGGCGCATATGAGGATGAGGATGTGGACGATGGGAGTGGACCGTATAATGATTACGGTCCATTCAGTCAGAGGGTTGATGACATGTACGAGACACATATGGTGGAGGTGCGTAAGGGTAGGGGTGGTAGGTTTGTTAGTAGATCTGGCACATCATCTGCGTCCACTATATCTGGGGCAAGCAGGAAACGGTCGAGGGTCGTTAATGATTCTTGGGTTGTTAGGAGTGAGGTGCCCGGTGGGCCTGTTGACGGGAGTGTGATTCCTAGCTTTCTAGGACACATAGCTGCCCGTATTTGGGAGGACCAGGAGAGGCCTTCAGTTACGGGGTTGTTGAAATGTCATACCCGGGAAAAGACTGGTAGCTTTTTGCGTACATGGGCTGAGGCTTGGCCGGCGGAGAGCGAGATGTTCGAGCGACTGGAGGGCACTGGGGTGAATCACGTTCCTGCCACCATGCACGATAAGATTGACAGTACGCTTATCACGGCTTTCGTTGAGCGATGGCAGCCGGATACAAACTCTTTCCACCTTCCGTTCGGGGAGATGACGATCATGTTACATGACGTCGAGGCCATTCTGGGGATTCGTGTTGAGGGTAAACGACTTTGTGATGTGGCTGATGCGGATCAGGCAGATTTGCTGTCGGAGTTGTTGGCGGTGGACAGGGCTGCACTGTACACCGAGGCGCTTGGTGTTTGGGAACACGGCGGTGTGAAGATCGCATCCGTGTTGCATAGGTGTTTGTACCCTAGCGCACGTAGGACGCACGACGCACAACTGGCTGCTTATGTTTTTCTACTCCTCGGATGTACCTTGTTTCCGGATAAGAGCGGCGGAAACAAGCTCAGGCCACGCGACATAGTAGAGGCGTGTGACCCCGACAGTGTAGGCCAGTTTTCTTGGGGATCGGCTACGTTGGCATATTTGTATCGCCAACTAGGATTTGCGAGTCGGGCTGACGCGACAGGTATCACTGGGTGTCTGACTTTATTGCAGACCTGGATATACGAGTACTTTCCTGCATTGCGACCACATCGTGACCCGGTTCCTATTGATGAGGGGATGCCGCGTGCTTGTGCATGGAGTCCGCGCTCAGAGAAGAAGTCCGTTGACCGCCTCCGATCGATACGGTTATTGCTGGACAGGCTGTCCACCTTAGAGGTAACGTTTATAAATTGTTTCTACATTTTATTATATGCACATATTATATTCATGTTATTAAATTTTAAAACTATGTGCAGGTGAACTGGATGCCTTTCGGCCCGAACCCTAGTGTTAGGGTACCCAGGACCCTGTACACGGGACTCATTCAGTATCGTGAGATCGTCGAGGCGTACATGCCCCAGCGTTGTCTTTGCCAGCTTGGATTTGTCCAAGTTGTCCCTCCTCCCCCGGCATGCCCGATGAAGGCGGTCCGACCTGCATCGTCGAGGGACTACGTCGTGCAATGGCCGGATATCATGACTGGGACATGGGACCAGTTTCCGATGGTGGCTCGTTTATGGACTGCGGAGTTGCAGCGGCCTCCCTCTAGGATTCCTCCCATGTGTGACCACTACTACATGGAATGGTTCAACCGGTATTCGCACCCGAGGTTGATCGCAGATCTCGACCACAGCGATGATGATTATGTGCCACCGCCTACTGCCATGGAAGCGGTATGTCTCATATTATATTTATCGTTGTTTTTTAATTAAGTTTTATATGTTGTTATTGTATTTCATCTTTTATTTTTTGTTGTATGCAGTGGATGGGAAAGATAATGCAGGACGTACAGAAACTCTCTCTGGAGAAGGACAACATGAGTGCAACAGTGAGAGCTGCTGTTGATAGTCTTGAACAGACCCTTGCGCATTGGGAGTCACAGACGATGAAGATTGACTACGACTAGATGACGATGTCCGACCACGAGCACGACCACGACCAAGACCACGGATATACTCAAACGCACTCCTGTTCCGCCGTTGCCGACCTCGAGGACGGTCAACTCCTTCGGGTTTCTCATAATCTAAGGTAGACGTGTGGAACATGTCATGAAGTACATGAGTAGTGTCACGAATAATAGAAGGATGGCTGGAGGACACTCGGTCGTACATCGAACGAAACTGCTCCAACTCCTCCTGTTGACGGTCGGCCGTTTGAGTATCTCCATGCTCACCAATAACGAGCGTCCGCCAGAATGAATGGACCTGATCAACATGTAACGACGCCCTTTCTTCTGTAATAACGCGGTGAATGGTGCATGCGCAAGGTAATCCATGAGTTACTGAAATAGCACACCCACACCGAGCATACACTTCGTCAGCCAAGTCCCTCATCCTGTTCAGCTCAGTGAGAATCAACCCCAAGCAGTAGTGTGACACACGACCATGGAGAATCTTAAATATGAAATGGCTATACATCGTACCATGTCGTCGTCTGGTGTCCTCTAGAGAGTTCCTGATGCCGTTCTTCTGAGTTTCAATTGACTTGTTAAGTCTATCGAACAGTGTATCCAAAGCAGCGGTCGATGAATCAATCCAGTCCTTGGTAGCTCTATGAGCGCTCTCAACTCTACATGTTGTAGTGTTCCCGAAATGAAGTACCTGGTTTGTCCAATATTTGACAAACTTTTCCCTATGAGGGACTCATTGCTGCATCACATAGTCCACCAGTGCCGGACACCACTGGTACGAATCCCTGAAGTTAGCCAATTCTTGCTCGTATGCTTCCTCTGTGGTAGCCTGTAGGATCTTCCGCCACTTACCATTCACCAATCTCTCTGCCATTTCCAAATTCTTCTTGAAAAGGTTGTAGGCTTTCACTTTCATGCAGTTGTTGATGTGCCATGTGCACAATAAGTGCTTCGATTCTTGAAACAGCTCTGTATGGGGGCAAAGAGACCTCCCTCACAATCGCTGACGATGGCTGCTGGATGAAAATTAGGCCCGATGTAGTTTCTCAGCTTCTCCAAGACCCAATAATAACTTGGAGCCGTCTCATCCTTGATGATTGCATGACCAATC